GTGCACCTGAGTCTTCACAGTAGCATCCTTGCTTTTCAATACTCTACAGAAGTTGTGTGCAGGTTTACCTAAGCAGCACGTCGCTTGGTCTTTTGACTGCTGCATCCATGAGCATTGACTATGGATGAAAGCAAGACAAAAATCCTTTGACAACTTCAGCCCTCCTTCCATTATGCAGGATGTTACCTATTGATCCAGTGGTGAAGATTTGGGGTATTCCTCAATAAAGCTTATGTGTTTCGTTAGTGGATGTACCCTGACAAGCAAATCTTATTTACCATGGTGTCAGCAGCACATTTACCCATTGTGACTTCCTCCAAAACTCAGACAAATGACCGTGAAAAAAAAAAAAAAAAGCCCCGGAGATTCCAGTCACTGTGCAGCACATGCCCACTGCTGCCCAGTCAATTCCAGCCCACACGCAACCTACAGAGCAGAGTGGATCCACCCCATAAGGTTTCCACGGCTGTATTCTTCAGGGTAGCAGGCTGCCACGTCATTCTCCCACGGAGCCGATGGTGGGTTTGAACTCTTGTTAGCAGCCAGACACCTTAGCCTCCAGGGCAGCCTCTGTTGTTGGTCCCTCGTGCCCATATTTCCTGAGGTCCAGAGTTCATCTCTGTTGCTGGAATTAAGACACTTTGAGCAACAAAGGAGGGGGCTTCAAAAAGTTTGTGGGAAAGTTCTATCATCTTTTCATTCCATTTTGTCCTGAACTTTGGGAAGTCCCCTCATATTTACAGCCCTACATGCTTACAGCCTCTTTAATTTGTTGTTTGTTTTGTCTTTTTCTGTGGTGAGCAACCATACTTTGTGTGAGGGCAGCAGAGGGCACAGGGGGGTGTCTAGTCTCTGGTTGTGTTTCAACCTCTGTCCTTTCCTTGCTCTGCCATGAGTGATGATCAGAGCCTTAGCTTCAACCTCTGTAGTCTCCTATTCTGAAGAAATAGCTCTTGCCATGGAAGAGGGCCTTGCAGCGCACACTTGAGCTCCAGTTTCCTCTGATGTTATTTCTCTCCAAAAGTTTTCATCTGTCAAGAAATTCTAAATGCTTCTCATCAGACGGCGGCCTTGCCTTCCTCCACTGCAGTGTGATGAGAAGGCTCTTTGGGGCTGGTTTGAATGTTGTTTTCCTTATTTGGGCAGAGTTTAAAGTGA